TTTTTTAGAAAAGAAAACAATATTTGGCTCCTGCCCTCCTAAACCCAGAAAATAAGAGAACTTCTCTAAGGTGCTTTACAACTCTGGGCCTCAGGACTTCCCAATCAGGGAGATTAATGAGACTGCTGGAGAACTAAAAGTCAATCGGTACACCTGCTGCAAAGAGGAGGGTCATTGAACAAAGGAGACATCCCTGATGTTCCAAGGGAAGCCACATCATCAAGGAGACCCTACCTTTTTAGATGGCACTAAAAAGAGATAAGAAGCTTCTCTCAAGTTCCCGAAGAGTGACTCCAATGGGAACTCAGCTGACTTGTTAGCAGATGGAAACAAGGTCAATTTGGTTAGCTTGGTCTTGAGCACCTAGCAAAAACAGTTATAACCAAAATAAGCCCTACCTTGGCATTTAAAAATGAAAGCAATCATTCTTCTAAATAGAACTTACGATGTACACTTGTGTCATTCTCACAGCCCTGATGCCCTTCCAAATTCTGATGTAAGAAAGCCCCCTAATTTTTACCTAACGCATAGGACTAAAAACATCACCAGGATTAGCATAGGAGCAGCAGGATCAGGAACCTCTATTCACTATAAAAATTGTCAGCACAGGTCATTGCAGATATCCAACAGATCACCAATTTGTATTGACTTTACAAAATCAATTGGACTCTCTGGCAACTGTCATCCTGCAAAATCAGTCAGGAAAGAGTGCCATTTCTATGTAAACCAACTGGGAATAATAAGAGACAAAGTTAAATGGCTCCAGGACCATCTAGAATATGAAAAATAGATCTGATTCAGGATCCTTTGTGAATCTGGAATATAATAAGCTTAAAAATGTCACCCACCTTAATATTTCTTTCATTGGGAATTCTATTTCACAATATATCTGATTTTTTGGTTTGGTTTTGTTTATTTATTTATTTGTTGTTGGTTGGTTTGATGGTTTCTGTTTGTTTATTTGTTTTGTTGTTTGTTTTGGTACTGGGGATTGAACTCTGGGGTACTCAACCACTGAGCCAAATCCCCAGCCCTATTTTGTATTTTATTTAGAGACAGGATATCACTGAGTTGTCCAATGTCTTGCATTTGCTGGGCTGGGTTCGATACCTGGCACCACATAAAAATAAACAAATAAAATAAAGGTATTGTGTCCATTTACAACTAAAAGAAGCAAATGTACTCTTTATTCTGCCTTTAACTTTCCATATTGCTCTGGAAACTAATTCCTGGGGCTGGCTCAGTTTCCTCACCCACAAAATGAGCCATTTTGGCCAAATAGTTGCTGAAGCTCCTCTTAAGGAGGACAACTGAATCCTGACCAACCAATACACAATAGATGTTTCTGGCAAAATCCCTCTAGTCCCTCCCAATTGCTGGGAGTCCTAGCCCCCAACCCACCTGTGCTCCTCATTCATCCCATCCTCTCCCAGGGCCCCATCTCTCAATCCCTATCTATTTCTCCTTCCAGGACCCTGGATTTGGCCCCCACCTTATTTTTGCAGAATCTGTGCTGACCTAACCTCTACCCAAGGTCTCCCCTCTTTCCCAATTGTCATCCCATTCAGACATCCAGAGATCCCAGCCCCTAAACATTCTCGGGAAATCTATCCTGGATTAGGTCCCTGAAGATCTAGTGTTAAGACCTAAAGGTCCATGAAACTACCACATTCCCTTCTCCATGTCTGCATTGTTGCTCCTGAACACAAAGTTTGTAGGCAGATCCAGGTCTCAGCAACTCCAGTCCAGAGAGTGTAACTTGATTCTCACAGCA